GGGGAAGAGTTCGAAAAAGCGTTGAAAACGCTGGCGCTATTGCGTGAAAGTGACGAATGCTTCTGCAAACAGGAACTTGACTTCGTAAGTGGTTTAACAAGATTTCCTCGTAGGTATTTGTTCGATTTGATTCATGAGATTTGTTGCAATGTGAGCTAGGCTTAATTTCCTGTTTTCATTTTCTCAAGATAGTCGTCTGTTCAGACGCACTTGTTCAGACCGTTGGCTGTGCTGTGCGCCACGTTGGTGCTCCAGCGGTGTTGTCTGTAATACCGCTTGGCATTGATGCCGATGCTGCCATTCTTAACACTGAATTCACCAGATCCTGGTTGATTCCTGTTCTGCGTGTAAACTTGCACAATGCTCCTTTGGCATACTTTTCGTCTCATATACTACCGCTGGCAGTAAAAATCTACAGGTATCGTGTTTTTCTTCACGTTTTTTATGACATATAATTGGTTTGCTTTTCTGAAAATCAAGCTTTGGTCTTCGTCTTTGTTTATGATTTGTTCACCCTTACCAACTGTCTCGTGCTTTTTCTATTTCAAAACTTTATTATATTCACCTATTTGGCTGTGAGAAACTTACAAAGCTCTTACCCAGGAAGGTTATCTTTTTTCCTGGCTCATGATGGGATCCTATCCAGTGCCCAAGTTTATTTCAGTCTTTTGCTTTACCGTTTTCGTTTTTTTCGGATTCCAAGGAATATGTACAGTTAAGCACCTGTTTTTGATTAAAACATTTGAGTTGTCCTAATTCCGCCGAACATGACTAACACGTCGTGGGGAAATCGAGTTTATGGTTCTTTTGTTCCAGTATTTCACCTGCAAAAAACGCTTTATCACTTACAAAAAAGCGGTTATAGGCGTCTTGGATCATTGGATCCCGTACCACAACGCTTATACATGACTTTGCAACTGCAATTGTGGGAGCTCTTGCCCTCATTTTGTGATTCTCCTTCGGATTTGGAAAAAGCGTTTCCCCAGCTGGCCCCAGTGAGTATTTATTTCGGAACGTGCTTCCTTCTAATGTCTCCGTTAAGCGACGTAGAGCAATTCAGGTACTCGGTGCAGCAATGAATGAGAGAAGTGATCTTAGGCCACAGATCCTTTCTGCATTACGTCGTGTGCTGCGATTCGCTCTTTTGCCGGACGCTCCTCCAGAACGTGTTGAAGTGAGTAGGTCAAAGAATTCTGTTGTGTTTTTGAGTATGGGGTGTCAGTTATTTTCTGAGGGCTTAAGAACAGCAGCGAATAAAGGATAAAATCTTGAAGTATTAGTTAATTCCGTCAGAGTAATGGCCCACGGATTCGACTTTCCATTACACGATCCTGATCCTAAATGTCGTATATCTCTTGTTTTTTTTTAACTGCGACATTTTTGCAGGAGGCATCCTAAAAGCAATGTTGCATTTAGTATTTTTTGTGCTAGTGGGTAAAAAAAAACAACCATTCGTTCGTGTATAGGTATTATTGTTTTATAGGTTGTCAGCTCCTATGCCAAAAATTTTATGCCGTTGTTGTTCAACATGTACACATCAAACGCTGGTAGTGATCAGGATGATAAAGGTGTACGGTAAGTTAAGGCAACTTTCTACGCTTCGTTATAGAATAAAGATTTCGGATGCGGTTTTTTGGGAACCTCATTTCGAATGTTTCAGTACTCAAACATGCTAGCAGATGATCTTTTTACGGATTCTTCCCGTCGCGTGGTGAAACAGAAATATTATTATTTTAGAATGGCTGTGCTGGAAACGATTCGAACATATGCAGAACTTACTCCTAAAGATTTGGTGGCCAATTTCGTTGATGCAGCAATAACGAAAGCGAATGGTGCTTCTGAAGATCCTTCTAAACAAGTGAGTTGAATTAATCCGACATGCATACATACACATTTGATTTCTATTAATAGCATTGCTGAAGTTTCTTTTTTCGTCACTTCCTGGTTGGAAATGTAAATTTAACAGGCTCGTATACTGGATATCCTATGTGCTATTTCACGAAGTGCTGATTGCAACACTTTGGATAAGGTCATGGACACTATAATTCCTTGGTTTGCGGTGGACACAATGCAGAAGAAAGCGTTCCGAATTATGGAGGAAATTTTGGCAAAAAGGTCTGTCCAAATCAATGTATTCCCCATTATATGAACCTGATTTCCTTTTTAGGGCTTCACCTGATCTGGAGTCCTTCTTTTCATCAAGATTATCCGATTTCGAAAACGCGTTGTTGCGTCCTATCGCTTCGGTGGTGCCTCCTGCTCGAGCAGCCTTCGTATGTTATCGCGTTAATCATTCAGTCTTTTCCAAAATACTTATCGTACTTCTAACGAGGTTTTCTCCGTTGTTGGGATAGAGCAAGAGTTGCCAGTATCTATCGTCATCGCTGTTCTCAAATGTGTCCTCTCTTCATTCTACCTGGAGCCTCTAGGAACAAAGTTTATTGGGAAGTATATGTAAAGTGCCTGGGAAAAGGATGATGTTTAAATGCTAATGCTCACACACGGGGTATTGACGTAGGTAGCGGTATTGAACACCTCCTCTTCCCCTTCCCCTCCCCCTCCCCCTCCGTCCCCTTCGACCAGCATTTCAACTGGACCATATCAACGACCACCTCGTTGAAAGCGATTTTAAATGAACCCTCAGCCGTGCCGTGGAGTTTTCATAGGGTTTGCGGTATCGTGAATACCTTCTGTCCTCACATTTTTCATGAAGTAGAAAATGTATGAAGTGATGAAATGAAAAGAATATTTTAGTGTTCATCCATTCAATTACTACTCGATTCATTCGCTGATCTTTCGAGGTTGTCCGATTTTTCTCTGAAAACGCTCGATGCTGTTGTTTTGTGCTTGGACAAGGTGTGCTATGCTTTCTTTTTCCATTCCTGGTTATGTATTTTTGAAGAATCAGGCTAGTAACGCCACTCACACATATTCATTGTTGATCGATTTTTGAAATTCCAGGCTAATAACACTCATACCCGTTCCAATGCCAGTAAATGTCTGCAGTACATGTTTAAAAAACTGATTGAAGTGGGAACAGAGAACGAGTAATCATTCTTTAATTCTTGGCGATTGAATACCATTTGTAAGTATCATTCCTTCGGCCGATGGCATCCTTTTAGGCAGCAAATATCAGCAGTTCTGAGCGGTATATTAGCAAGAATCTACGAATTAGCAACACCATGTGGTGATTCCGACAATGGGGGCGTGGAAATGAACATAGCTAGATCAACGTTGGTGGCCTTCAACATAATAGCTCAAAAATTACTCCGAGTAAGTGATAATACTAGAATTTACTGCGGCAACAAATTTCGTCTCGAAAACTATTCTGCAGGTTTTAAACGGAGGACATATTTCACGTCTGGTTGCCCATGGATGTGCATGGATAGGAGATGGCCGGCCACCTGTTCGAATACTAGTTATTAGGTCTGTTTGCATTCAATTAGCTGTAATTTCAACAGATCACGTCTCTCATTTGCTATTGTTTTTATAGATTACTGCGAGTACTTGTACAAAAGATGCCCGAGTACGCTTTACAGCAGTATCGTGATCTAATACTCAATTCAGTATTTGAAGGTCAACTAACATGTGACGTCACCTCCAAGGTAGACTCATAGTGGTGCTCAAGTGTTGTTAGCTTCTACAAACTCTGGCCTTCAGGTCCGCAAAGCAAATCGTCTACTACTGGAGGTACTTGTTGCCAAATTTGGTGTAAATGTGCTGCTCAAATATACAAGCAAGCCTGAATGGGTAAAGCAGTTGAGGAATATCGAAAAAATCAATAGGAGAAAAGAACGGCAAGCTAGTGGTGGAGGGAACGCAAAGGACAGTGATGAAGGTACAGGAAGTCATTATATGTCTGTTGAATACTTTGGGGTTGAGGAAATAGATGAAAGGTCAAAAATATGGTCATTTGGTCGAGGATAAAAAACCTCTTTTCTTATAACTTGACATACTTCGGTATTATAGAGAATAGTGAAGCGGGTTCACGAATGACTGCTCGAACTGCTGGAGCTGACACCATATTAAAGCTACTCGAGGATAGTGATGCCTCTGAAAGTGACGGTGAAGGAGAGTTAGCCGAAATGAAGAG